ATCGTGGTGTGCACGCCATGGAGGCCAGGTCCGGGCTAGAGCTAGAGGTGGCTGAGTTAGTGCAGACATTGAAGCAGCCCAACAGTCTTATTCCGGGCAGAGGGTTGGCTGTACCTCCAGTAGCTCAATGTCAGTGGCGTGAGAGCCCGAATCATCTGGTGGAAGACTGCCAGGCTATGGGAGAGTCTTCTACTCCCCAAGAGCAGATGGACTTCATCGCCAATGCTCGGTGCCTTGACCCATATAGCAATACATACAATGAGGGGTGGCACCAGCATCCCAACTTTGCTTGGAACAGCAACACCACTAAACCAACCGGTTTCCCAGCACCAGCGGGTGGTTTTCAGCAGAGGCAGCCCTTCTAGGCCAGACAAGGGCCAGTTCCACAGCAGCAGCCTTACCAGTCTAGGCAGGGGCAATTCCAGCAACAACCTCTCTATCCGCCCAGACAGGGACAAGCTCTTTCTCAACCGCAGCCGAGACCATTTCAGTAGCCGTGCGCAACCCCTGTAGCCCTGGTACAAAGTGATCAATGGCTGAGCTGCGCAACATCATGGCGGGCCTTGCTAGTAACAACGCTCATAAATTTGGCAATATGGACCGGTTCATGGAGAATGCCTCTAGACAGTTCTTGGATCTTGAAACTGGTAAGTAGTCCCTTAAAGCCGATCAGAGGAATACACCGCCTGTTCTGCAGGACATCCAGCTCCATCTTGGAAGTCTCCACAAAGTCGTGGCACAACGGGCTCTGGGTACATTACCTAGTCACACCATCCATAATCCAAAGACCCCAGAGACCCGGATGCCCACTGCAGTGCCATTACCACCAGGAGCAGGAAGGTGACTGCAAATATTTCTACCAAGATCATACAGGAGGAAGAAAGACCTGCTTCAGCACTTCCAGCATATGAGAAAGAAATGGAGAAGGAGGTTGAGGTGCCTTCTCCCAAGCCACAACCAGTGGTGAACGAGTATGTACCTCAACTTCCCTTTCCTACTCAGTTACACAAAGACCGACTGGAGACTGAGTTTGCCAAGTTCATGGCAATGCTGAAGCAGGTTAACATAAACATGTCTTTTGTGGAGGCACTATCAAAGATGAATGTGATTTTTCATCAATATTTTTTGGAATTATTGCAAAAAAATAGGCAAAATACAGTTCCATAGCCACAACTTTCACATTTGTGACAGTTATAGCCACAACTTTCGAAATACACAAAATAGCCACTTGCGAGATACTTTTTTCTATAAAAATAATTAGTTAATTACTTTTCTAATCATTTTATAATTGTTTATAGCCTTTTATTGTGATTCTAGTGTTTTTATAGGCGTCAGAATTTAATTTCATATTTTTTGTATTCAAATAGCAACTGCACTGCCGAAACATCCATAGAAGTTAGTTTTATTGGTGAAAATATACCATAGAAATGAGTTTCATTGGTTAAAATATATCTACAGAAATGAGTTCTCATGAGTGGAAGCCGCACCTCTTGAGGGAGCGCTCCACACATGCGTCTCGCCTAGTAAGGTGCGCGCGTGCAATTCAACTCCTAGGGGCTCGATTGTCTCTCAAATCCTACCATTGGTTGCTTTTTTTGTAGCTAGTCCCAGCAACTTTGGTTCCCTTTTAACCCCACCTATATCAAAGCTAAAATCCCCCCTAAACCCCTTTTAGCACAAAAAAAAAGTACTCTTTTTTTTTGACAAAAGATAATCACTTGTATTGATTGGATCAAAAGATATTACATCCTGGAGATCAGCCAGGCCTGGAAATCAAAGTAACGACTTGTAGCCAGAAACAAAACAAGGGCCTTTCTAGCCACCAAATGGGCTACCCTATTGTTACTCCGACCTACAAAACGAACATTGAAAGCACTATGATATGCAAACATCCCAATAAGCTCTTCCAAAACCGCCCCAATTTGGACATCATTCGCATCCCTCCTGATAATCTTATCAATGACAATCTGAGCATCACCTTGAAAACAAACGTCCTGCAAGCCCAGCTCCAGACACCAAACTACTGCTTCCCGCAGGGCCAGCACCTCAGCCACCAAAGGGTTATCAAACTCCGAAAACTCCACGCCGTGTGCCAGCAACACATTCCCAGCGAGGTCCTTAATCACGATCCCTCCTGCCGAATGAGACCCAGGTTTGGTTGCCCCATCCCACATAAAGGTAACTGACTGCACCATATTCGCCAGACCCGGAGAGGGGTGAGATGGGGACCCACCCACAACCTGGTCCACGGGGAGCGTGACCCATTCTTGGTATTGCTGATAGTACTGTCGGAGAAGAGCAGTTATCCCAAATTGCTTCCCTTCAAAGACTACCCAATTCCGGGATCGCCAGATACGCCAAAGGACGGCAACTACTGCCATAAACAGCTGGGGCTGATTGATAATGGACATCAACTTCTTCAAAAAGAGGGGGAAGGTATGGCAAGGCAGCCCTTGGCCAAGATGCTCCAACCCAGCCTGGTCCCAAAGGGCCCTGGCTACCCTACAGTCTAAGAACAGATGCTCCATCGTTTCCTTCTCAGCCCAGCAGACAGGACACCGAGGCTGAACTTCAATTCCCTTCTCAATCAGCGCTTCAGTAGTTGGAAAGATTCGAAAGAACACTTGCCAAAGGAATACTTTAAGTTTAGGGGGAATGTTTGCATTCCACAATCGTATCCAACTTTGCTTATCCATCCAGCTAACCACAGATCTCCACCGCCCCTCCTGCTTATTCAGCAAAACGGCAAGGTGTTAGGCCGATTTAACAGTAAAGCTTCCATCAGCTGTCATATGCCAAATAAGCTTTTCCTCAACATTACAGCATGGAAGGGGGATAGCCTTAATCGCACAACACACTGTGGGATCAAACCATTGCTGGAGCTTCTCATCCCACCACCTTCCTTCCCCTGGGCGTATAACCGCCGCTACCATCGGCTCACCCTCCTCTGGAATAACCATGGGATTATAAACCGGGCTGTTAGGGTGAAGGAGGGGGATCCAATTAGACGAAATAAGAGAAGCCGACCGCCCATTTTCAATCTGCCAACGGAGACCACGGAGTAGCAGTTGACGTCCATACAGGATACTCTGCCACCCCCATGAAGGACGGGACCTAGGGGTTGCTGTAAGAAAGGTTCCATGGGGGAAATATTTCCCTTTATAGACATGCGCCAAGTGAGACTGGGGCTCTGCCAGGATTTGCCACCCAATTTTTGCCAATACCCAAAAAAAGTACTCAACCAATGGCTAAAAGGAGAACTAAAAGGCTAAAAAGTTTTTTTTGGGGGGGGGGGGGCATTAGTTGGTGCTAAAATGGGGGCCAAAGTTGTGGGGACAAGCTGCAAAATAGTAGGATTTAAACTATACCACGCACGCACGCACCTCGATGGACGAGACGAGCACGTGCAACACTTTCTCTGATAGCTTTTCCTTTTTTTTTAAAAAAAAAATTGTTTAGTTATTTTCTGTGATGTTTTAAGCCAATGAGACCCATTTCGGTGGAAATTTAACTATTCGGAAAAAAGACATATAAAATACGAATTTAAATCCTAATGGCTATAAAAACAGGAATCGAAATAAAGACTATAAACAATCATAAAACGGCTAGAAAAATAATTAAATAATTATTTCAACTATAAAAAGTTGTTCAAAGTTTGCTCGAATTTTGTCAAAGTGTTTAAATCGAATTATCTTGAACAAATATATAAAATTTAAATTCAATAACATAAGCTTAACTATTCATAACTTAAGATTACTAAACACTGAACATTAAATTATAACTATAAGTTGAAGCTATTTCTATTTTCGATAAGACTAAAACTCGATTTTAGCCTTAAAATCTTCATTTTTGTCTTGTAGTTACCCCTAACCCCTTTGAGAAATTGGTTGAACGCATTTTTTTAGATGCTAAAAAGACAAAAGAAAATACTCTTTTAGCCTTTGGGTTACGGTTAGCCTAAAGGGTGTTACCATCGTATTCGGTCCAATCCCAAACTAATAACCAATAAATCTTTCATGTTTTTGGCACAATTTTTTTTTTTCATTTTTAGAGTTCGGGCAAGGTTGTCAAACCACTGGGTAACCTACCGGTTGAGCGTTTTGACCATGATCTGGTGAGAACAATGGATCAAACACATACGCGGGTCGACCTGCGCAAAGTTACTAAGTTGGAGGTCAAACAAAGTATTTTTTTTTACTTTCGCTTGCGAAATGCATATTTTTCCGATTTTACTTTTCACATAGTCCTATCTGTTGGAATTCTAAGTTGAACATTTGAATATTGATGTTATACAAGTGTGTGAATTTCACTATATGTTGAATCCAAGTACTACCTATTATATTGATGTAATGGTATATAATAGCTTAGTTTGGCCCTGCTGTAGCTTTTGCAGAAGCAGCTTCTGGCTGGAGCTTTTAGATAAGTACTTTTCAAAAAAAGCAGTTTAGTGTTTGGCTGTAAAACTATTAGAAGTGCTTTTTAATATGAGCGGTTGTGTAAAATGACTATAAAGGACTTATAATATAAAATAAAAATAAAAATTCGAAACAATAAAAAGTAGTCAAAATGGATCTTGTTAGATTTCTTTTATATTAAATAATATGATTTTATAATTTATTTTATTTTTAAAATGATATAAATGAAGGAAAATTATATTTTATGAAATAAAATTAAAATATGGTAAGGATAATCTTGTATTTTCAAAACAGCTTTTCGCAGAAGCTCCAAATCGGAGCTTCTGCTTTTATGTTATACAAAAGCGCTTTTCGGCTTTTCAAAAGCCGAGCTTTTAGAGGTGTTTGGCCCTGCTTAAGCTTTTGAAGCCGAAAAGCACTTCTAAAAGCCGGGCCAAACATAGGCATTATTACTTATTTGTTAGATGAGATTTGATATAATTTATAAATTTAGCAACAATATAATAATATTTTTATATATTCAGACTAAATTGGTCGACCATTGACTCTCTACCTATAACGGACCAACTAGCTAAACCGGTTGTCAAACCTTCGTTTGGACTTTACGGAACCCGGAAAACTTTTCTCTTTAGCTCGGACTCATCTAAGCCTATTCTCCCCTGTTCCTCAACGTTGAGCGAAGTAGGAGCAGGACTGCAGAGAGAATTTGGATTTCCTGTTGTTTGGTTTGGCCGCTGTGTGATTCAGGTTCAGTTTACTGATTCCGGGATCTCCAGGTCAGTTGTTGCTCTCCCATTCCTCATTTCCAAAATAGTTTTAAACTTGGCTTCTCTCGTTTTAGGGTTTTAGGTTTTTCGTCGCTCCTCTTGAATTGTCTGCTGATTGTGAACTTGGTTACCAGAGTGCGACTGGAGATGGAGGGAGAGCAGCTAACAGAGCAGGAAACTGCTCTGTACGACCGCCAAATTAGAGTCTGGGGCGCAGATGCTCAGCGAAGGTACCTCTCTCTCTCCCTCTCTTTGCCCTCTGTTGTGAACACTTCGTATCGTGTTAGTTAGGCTGTTTTGTGTTCAATCGTAGTCTTGGCCCAAACCCATGAGTTAAGTTCGTTTCTTGTCGAGTGATTCCATCGATTTGAAGTAATTTTGAACTTCTTCAGACTTAGCAAGTCTCACATATTTGTCTATGGGATGAAAGGAACTGTTGCTGAGGTATGTCTACTTCTCCTCAAGTTGACATTGTATTGCAGTTCCAGGATTTCGGTCTATAAGAATCTGTCCTCCTGCCTAAATTTGGTTTATTAGTATGATGGTCCATTTGTCCTTTTCTCTGTGTTTTGTTTAGTTTTGCAAGAACATTGTTTTGGCTGGAGTTGGTAGTGTGACTCTGATGGATGATCGGGCTGTAACCAATGAAGCATTAGCCTCCAACTTTTTGATACCACCAGAGGAGAAAGTTTACAGTGGGAAAACTCTTGCAGAGCTTTGCTGCGATTCTTTGAAGGAGTTTAACCCAATGGTCCATGTTTCAGTTGAAAAAGGTTTGACCTTGGTTCTTCTTGGTCGTAAATCTAATGCTTGCAATCAAGTTGTGTGCTTGTGATAGTTTATTCTTTGCCTTCATAATTTTCTATGCCCTTAATGTATTTGCGCATACACTAAGCAGATGAACTTACCCTGTTGAAATCTTGTGTACAGCTGAGTTGGTAACGTTGGGTCAGCAGTTCTTTGAAAAGTTTGATGTTGTTGTCATAAGTAGCTGCCCTCCTGCAACTAAAGTACAATACTCTCTCCTTACCTTAGGACGTATGTTGGACTGCATTCACTGAGCACTTTTCCTTCCATATTTGATAACCTCGGTCATTATTGCAGATATTGATCAATGAAAAGTGTAGGAAGTTATCCAAGCGTGTAGCATTTTATACCGTTGAATGTAGGGATTCCTGTGGTGAGATTTTTGTCGATTTGCAGAACTACAAGTATATGAAGGTAATGACTCTTCCTTCTGACTGTAACGGCTTTGTTATTAGAAATGTAATACTTCATGCTGCACTTGATATGCTTCTGTCTGATGATTCTTTCTAGTGAATAAATGACTTTAATATATTAGTGAGTGTCTAACTGCTAGTTTTTATGTTGACAGAAAGGAAAAGCAGATGGACCAGCTTCTGAGTGTGAACTGCGGTATTCAAGCTTTCAGGTATTATCAAGAATGTCTCTGATGTTCTTATTAACCTTTAAGTTGTATGATTCATTTACTTAACTCCATGAGAGCACGTCTTATTCATTTTTATTCGTTGACTTTTGCCTCTCCTAATCGCCATTTCTTTCACTTCCTGATTAAACCTGGCAGGCAATTTGGTTTTGCATGCCTACTTAATGAAATATGGTTGTTATATTAAATTTGTTTGATGTTGATCTGGATAGTACCGATGCTAGTACCTTGCAATATATGATGATAAGCAGATTCATATTGCAGGAAGCGACTTCAGCACCTTGGGGAAGACTTCAAAGAAGAACATCAAAGCTTTACTTTGCCATGAGAGGTGTGTTTTAGGTTTTTCAGCCGTTTGTATTATGTTAAGACAGACTAATCTCTTCGCCGCTTACCATCCATCATCACAATTGCTTTGCACAGTGATTGAGAGTTTCGAAGAGGCAAACGGTCGAAATCCAGGAGTTTTCTCTGTCGAGGATGTTCCTGCTGTATTACAGTTAAAAAGGAAACTCTGTGAGGCGCAGGTACGGTAAAGCATACATTCGTAAATTTCTGTTATATTTGTTAATTATCTTGTGCACTTCATAACCTTGAAAATTTAAACATTTCTAGTCAGTAAGTGAATCCTTTGTACCTGATACCCTGCTCGAGAGATTGGTGATTGGTTCCATAGAATTCCCGCCGGTTTGTGCAATCATAGGAGGCATCCTTGGACAGGTTCATCTCTTCGCCCTGATTCCTTTAAAATTTTACACCATTAATTAATGTGTTTGATTCTTCATTTGATTCAGGAGGTGATCAAAGCAATATCTGGGAAAGGGGACCCTGTCAAGAATTTCTTCTACTTTGATGTTGTGGATGGTAAAGGTGTGATAGAGGACATATCAAGTCGGGCCCCGGAAGCCGATTCCGCCTCCTCTAAGTCCGCCAATATTATCACCCAAGTAGTTTTGGAATAGAAGAAGAGCTTACAATGTAGGAAATCTGAGAAGATGCCTGACCTTTGACGATTTCTTTTGTAGTTTTTTCTAGACTCTATCTAGATAAGTTTAACCTGATAACTAGAGAAACCAATTGTCTTGGTGAATGCCAGGGAAATCGTAGCTTCTTGTTGATACTCCTGAGTTACAATTCATCTAAACTCCCGTCACTTTGATATCTGCTCCTTGGAAATGTTTCTCTTCTTGGTGGCATATCATTTAGGTGGGGTAAATTACAAGGTTGGTAAGGTTGGTCAGATTATTAGAAAGTGTTATGTTTGTTCACTAAAAATATTTAATTTCATTCGTGCTCACTTAAATTGGTTAAACATTTTAACTCCCGTCACTTTGATATCTACTCCTTGGAAATGTTTCTCTTCTTGATGGCTTACATCATTTAGGTGGGGTAAATTACAAGTTTGGTCAGATTTCTAGAAAGTGCTATGTTTTTTCACCAAAAATATTTAATTTCATTCCTGATCACTTAAATTAGTTAAACATTTTAAGTTTGGTCACTCTCTGTCCAACTATGTTAACATTTGCTGATATGGTAGTCAACTCCCATGATCGTTAAATATGAGGTGACAATTAAAAAATATTACAAAAATAAATATAAATTATTTAAAATTTCCACATCATTTTCAACTATTAATAAATAAAAATAAACTTAAAAGCTCATGATGAGTACCCCGTCAGGTTTCTCCCTTCACCACCGCCAGCTAGTGATGGCAATTTGATCCTGCCCCGCGAGTATTACCCGATCTAACTTGTGATGGGATGAGTATTACCCGATCCACAGTAGTGTGGGGCGGAGTATGGGTATCTACTTTCGACCCGCGTTGCCCCGCTCCGCCCCGTTCTTGGCCTGGTAGTCCATGAAACCGTACCGGGCACATTATCGGGAAAGTCAGTGGTAGGGTATTTTATGGTAAAACCGTGGTTTAACCGTAGTTCAATCGTAGTACCATTAAATACCACCTACCGGTTTAGCCTAACACTGGTATTTCGTGGTTGAACCGTCGGTACGGTATGGTTTCATGGACCATGATTCTACCTCACTTTCTTACAATATCTATAAATATTTTTCTTATTTTGACTTTTCTTCAACTAGTTAGAGTCGATTTTTCTACTAGTTAGACTCAATTACCCATTCTATTATCACTATTATTCATTCATAAAGTGTTTTCCCCTACGTTTTATCGTAAAAAGTAAAATTTGCATGTGTTTTTTTAAATAACATGTAACTGAGGGTCGACCCGCCCCGCCCTGTACCCGTGCGAGTTTTACCCGCCCCGACCCATAGTAAAGTGGGCCATAGTGATGGCAATTTGAACCCGCCCCGCGGGTATTACCCAAACTGACTAGCGATGGGGCGGGTATTACCCGACCCTGTCCCGCCTCCCCCCGTTCTACCTCAATTTCTTACAATATCTATCTTAACCCCCATTTTCATTTTCTTAAACTTAAGCCCCCTCCTAAAAAAAGGCTTTGAATCCATCTCTTCAATTACTTTTGTCTAGTATCTCAAAACATACATTAGCCAAATGTAAATTCTGTTCTCTTTTTATTATTTTTCCTCCTATTTTGACTTTTTTCAACTAGTTAGACTCAATTACACATTATATTATGACTATTTTTCAATTGTAAAGTGTTTTTCACTTCGTTTTATCGTAAAAAGCAAATTTGTGTGTTTTTCTTAAATAAGATGCGAGAGTGGGTCGACCCGTCGCACCCCGTACCCGCACGAATTTTACCCGCCCGACCCGTAGTAGTGTGGGGCGAGGTATGGGTATTGAGGTACCCACCCCGCCCCGCCCATTGCCATCAGCCCATCACTAGCCCAAGCGCGCCGGTAACCGGGCCAAGAGTACAAAATTTTTTGATGAAGATTTCGATTTCGAATTCGATTTCAGCGGTCAATTGGGTAGGAGCTCGTTGTTCGCCGCCGACGAGCTTTTCCACGGCGGTAAGATCCGACCGTTGAAATCCTCTCCATGGTACGATTCGGGGGCCGGATCCTATGTCGCTTCTCCCCGGTCCCCGCGATCTCGCGCCGCTTCGAAAAACAGAGTATTCGATCATTTTCAGGCAGCGATTCAAGAGACTCATAAGGAAGAATTGGACCTACGTGGAAGAAGAGAACAGAGAGGAGCGATTGGCTATTCTTGGGAGAAGAATTCCGATTCTAATTTTGACTCTGTTTCCGGCCGTCAGGGAAGCAGCAGGTCGCTATTGCCAATGAGAATACCCGACGTGATGTTGGAGCAGGATGATTACAATTCCGAATTCGACCCTGTTTCGGCTGTCGCAGGTGGCGTGAAGCAGTCCTACGCCGCGGCGTTCCTGTCGGCGATATCGTTTTCCTCGCAAGGGCGGTACAAAAAATGTGAAGTTACGTAAGAATCGGTCAATGATCATAAACAAAAATGTGGATTTATGTTGCAGGTGTGCAGAGATCCGAGATGGGGGCGGTGCTACGAGAGCTACACCAAGGATCCGAACCTACGGGTACCCTACCTGAACCAACCCTGTCAACGTGGGTAAAGTCCGTGTTGACGGATTTTGGGTCGTGTTCGGGTTTAAACCCTTTCACTATTCACCGGGTTTAGTTGGGTTTGGATTTAGGTAAACCCGCCCCATATCCATATAATTAATTTTCGCGATATATTTAATATTCTAAACAACTAATCTTCTTAATGTTTGTGGAGACATGTTTAATTTTTTCTTTCTAATCGTGTAGGATGAAGTTGATATTATCGAGTGGAGAGTGAAGAAGCTTAATTGACAAGGAGGAAGAAGTTTTCACTTAATCATGTTGTTTATGGATAATTTGCGATTTGCTTTAATTTCAAGCTAGACATCGAAAAGGCTTTCGATAATGTAAGCTATGAATGTCTTTTCAAAATTATGAATAGTGTTGGGTTTCCTAAGAAGTGACAGCAATGGATTAAAGGGGACATGTGCTCTTTGAAAACTTTCATATTGGTCAATGGAGAGGCTTACGGGTATTTCCGTTCGGGCAAGGGCATTAGGCAGGGGGACCCCCTTTCTCCAGAGCTCTTTGTTCTCGTCATGGATGTGCTCTCCTTTCTTATCACTAAACTTCATGAAGCCAATGGACTTTCTGGGTTTTATATGGACGAGGCTAGGGGACTTGGAGAAGTCACGCACCTCTTATTTGAGGACGACTCCCTCATCTTTTGTGATGACTCCGTGGATCAGGTGATCAACATCCTTGCCTTGCTCGTTTGCTTCCAATCTATCACTGGTTTAAAGATAAACCTGGATAAGTCTACTATGTTCACAATTGGGGATATTCCTGAGCCGGACTATTTTGCAGCAATCTTTGGGTGTAAATGGAATACAGAACCATCAAAATATCTCGGGCTACCCTTGGGTGACAAGCCGAATGCGAGTACAACCTGGAACACTATTGTTGATAAGTACCATAGGCGGCTTCAAGGCTGGAAAAACATATATCTTTCTTTTGGGGCTAGGATGACTTTAAACTGCTCTACTCTCAATAGCCTATCTGTGTACAACTTCACACTCTATAAAGCGCATAAGAAGATCATCAATAGACTAGAAAATATCCAATGAAGGTTCCTGTGGATTGGAACTAGCAGCGATAGCAAGTTTCATTTGGTCAGTTGGGATCAGTGCAAAGCTCCAAAGCACAGGGGAGGCCTAGGTGCGGTTGATCTACAAAGCTTCGACAATGCACTGTTGTGAAAATAGTTATGGAAATACGCTACGGAAAGGGATAATTGGTGGAGAAAACTCATTGAGATCAAATACCATCATCCCATCTCTGAATGGAAACCAAGAAGAATTGATGAAGGCTTCAGTAGCTCAGTTTGAGCGAATATCTGCAAGGTTAGTGACATCTTTTGGAAAGGGGCCAGTATAAACCCAGGAGCGGGTACCGTATATCATTGTGGCATGATTCTTGGATCCCAGGAAAGCTGCTGGCCGTTTCTTTTCCGCGTACTACTGCTGCTAGGCCCGACGCAAGTATCTCAGACTCTGTGTCTTGGTTAGGTGAGAATAAAGTGTGGGAAATTCCTTTTTTGATTAATCTTCGGGGTGGGGCTAGGAGGGAGAGAAACATTCTTTTTGAAAAAGTTAGCGAGAACTCTCATCGTCTTTCGATCGGACTATGCCGTATGGAATGGAGTCCTTGTTATGCTAAAAATGTCTCTCTGAGCTCTATGTATAAAATGCAGGTTGAAGATCACTTCAAGGGGACAGATGGCTTTCTTTTGAAAGCAGTTTGGAGGAACATAATTCCTACAAAGATTTGTGGTTTTTTATGGATGGTTTGGCACAAAAAGATTCTCACCATCGACAACCTTAAGAAGTGGGGTTTCAAATTGGCACACTGATGTGAACTCTACTCCAAGGAAGAGGAATAAATTAATCACATATTCACTAGCTGTTCGTTTGCTAAAAGTGTGCAGGAGGGGTTGCCGGTGGGTACCTCCAGAACGGTTTTCTCTTCCCCAGACATCACTGAAGTCATTAACCAAAGCGACATGAAGGATCCTGATGGTGTGGAGGGATGGTTCTTACATTGTATCATTCATGCTTGCTGCTGGTTCATATGGAAAGAGAGCAATCAAAGGATCTTCCAGCAAATCTCTTGCCCCAAGTAGGCGATCATAAGAAAAATCAGAAGTGCAATAGCCGAGTGGACAACAACCCATGGGAAGTTAAGCCCGGATCAAGGGAAGCTTCTGCTGCAACAATGCTGATTTGAATGTGTTTGAGCCCTTTCCCCTGTTCGTTTGTCTTTCTTTTTCTTCCTTTTGTTTCCCTTTCTTTGCTGTACTTCTTAGCTTTGGTCTTCTGTTTCCTTTCCCAGACTTGCTCTCCTTCCACTCCTCGTGGGAGATTGTTTTTCTTCAACCTTTTCTTTCTAATAAAGTTCATCATCATTATCAATTTTTTTTTGTGATTTGGTTGAATTTTCTAGAATGGTGTTCTATATATGAATAATTTGTATTGAGAGATTAATATTTGATTTTATTTTGATAGGAACTTGTTATTGTAAATTTTTTACTACAAAAACCCATGAGTACCCATCAACTCCCGGATACCCAGGGGGTTGGGTTGGGTTTGAGTTTTTCAAACACAATGGGTTTTACCCCGGATTTTCTCAAGATAAACCAATGAGTTTGGGTTTGAAAAAACCCGACCCAACCCATTGCCATCCCTAGTGACAATGACGGAGCTGATCCCAAGCCTGCAAGGAGATGTTCGTACTGACTCGCGCAAGGGAGTCCCTTATGTTGGTGGAAAGTAAGTTTCAAATAATATAAACTACTTCTTTTTCTTTAATTTACAGGCTAAGAGGCGAAGTCCACGATTGAAATTGTGCTTACCGCACCATTTGTCAGGATGTCCTTAGAACATTCATAGACAATTTCATTTCGTGTTGTGTGATTATTGGATGGCCACCGGGAGGGTTCGACTCCGTCCACATGGGCATCCTCGTTGGCGGCTAAGCGGTCGCCGTGAAAATGCTGGCATCGGGGAGCAGCCAGGGCGAGAGGCACCACCAGTGACCAGTCGTGGGATTAGGATTTTCTTTTTTAATTTATAATAATTAGCGGGAAAATTAAGAATAATTAAATTTTATTATTTTTAAATTGCCACATCACTCATTTAACGGTCAACTATTAGAGTTGATCACCACATCAACAAAAGTTAATGGAGCCTAACGACTAGTGACCAAACTAAAACTGTTAACCTAATTTAAGGGACTACGGATGGAATAAAATAATTCTAGTGGCTAACGTGAACTTTACTAGTTATTCAAGTGACCAAACTTGTAATTTAGCCTTTCATAATAATAGTTAGCAATAGTTAGTGGGATTGGATTAGCTTCTGCAATCGGCCCATAGATCCAATTTTAGTCTCTAGTGGCGTCGTGAGCTGCGCATTGATCGCTTGCAATTTCAAGTTCTCCAATGTGTTTATCTTTTCTGGAGAATTTGGAAATCTCAAATACTATGTTTGATTTTCAAATCTGAGAATTCTCTTCTTCAATCCTCCCCAACCCCACCCCGGGCGGTTTGGTGCCCTCCTCCCTCAAGCGTTCTCAAGATTAACTTTGACGAATTAGTCCAACAAGATGCTTTCTCTTCTGGAGTTGTTATTCGGGATTTTAGCTGTTTCATTCTTTTGGTGTCAGATTTAATTTCCTTCATTCTGACATCAAGATGCTTTCTCTTCTGGAGTTGTTATTCGGGATTTTAGCTGTTTCATTCTTTTGGTGTCAGATTTAATTTCCTTCATTCTGACATCTTAGACCCTTACCTGTCAGAACTTCTTGCAGCTTGTGATGACATTTCCTTGGCGGCTTCTCCTCGGATTGCTAGAGTGGTGGTTGAAGGCGACTCGAAGGTTGTTTTGCCTATTTCCATAAAGGTTTCTCCTCATATGTCTTAGGCGGACATGTGGTGTGTGATTGTCTCCAGTTGATCTCGGTCTTACCCCATGATGTAGAGTTTAGGACGGTTCGTAGAGTTATCAATTGGGCCGCCCATAAAGTGGCATGTAAAGCCAGTTACTTCTCTTTGTTAGAGTTGGTGTGTTTTATTTTTGGGGCCTGATTATTGTTGTAATAAGTCTGAGTGGATTTTAGCAGGGGTATGATGTATCATTGGAATGATGTTTATTTCTTAACATTTCTCGGAAAAAGAAAAATTATGGGTAGTCTTATAGTTTGGGCCATGAGCACCACAACCGTACGTGTTGCATGTGAGCAGAAGCTGGCCTCATGATACCAATTGTTGAGAAATGAGAATCCATGGCCAGTGAATAGTAAGCGTCACATACGCTCTTTCATATCAATCGAATAGTAGTCTTATGAGATTATTAAAGGAGAAAAGCCAAAGCTATTGGCCACCAGGGAAAGGAATGAAATTAAAAGCTTCACAAGCAAAGCATTGTCAGTCCATCCCTCCATTATTATTATTATTGAGCATTGTTGATGTCATAGAAAGACATCATGACATGCAATGCAAGGTCAATCGAGATAATGTTATACCATGATGTGTTGGCTCTTTCTTGGACACACCAAAGCATCGAGTGACATGCTGATTTTTTTTCCCTCTGGTTGCTCACATTAACATTTCCCCGCCCTCAATGTACGGCTTCTTCTTCACCATGTAAATTGGTGGGTTTCGTTTGTTAGCTAGCTAGCGTATATTGGCATTGCTTGCCATTGATATGATAGGTCTCTTTCTCTTACATTTTAACCCTACCTCCTTCCCCTCTGTCTTTCTCTCCCTAATTTTACACCAGTAGTTGAAGCTGATGATAATTACTTGATGTTTAATCTTCAACTGCAACGTTCGTTGGGACCATTTCATGGTTATCTTTATCTTATTTTTAAAGTTAAAAAGTAATTCGCGTGGCTGGATAGATTTCGAAGACACTAGAAATTAAGAACTTAGAAAAATCGGTTATGATTACAGTTGGTGATGTCATTATTCCTGAGTACTACGCTGAGATTTTTGGCTGCAAGTGGAGTAGTGACCCGTCCAAGTACCTTGGCTTCCCTCTCGGAGCTAAGGTAAACGCTATTTCTACTTGGGAGCCGATCATTGCCAAGGTTGAAAAACGGTTGGAGGGTTGGAAAGGCCAATATCTCTCTTTCGGTGGTCGTTTGGTGCTGAACTGCTCCACTCTTTCGGGTCAGCCTACCTACTTCTTTTCTCTCCTTCGCGCTCCTGCAACTGTTCTGAAAAGAATGGAGAACGTGCAGCGAAGGTTTATTTGGAGTGGTGCTGGGGAATATACCAAAATTCCTCTCGTTCAATGGGATATGTGCAAAGCTAGCAAAGACAA